CAGAGACTGAGGCAGCAGGCACAGATGCAGGTCCTCTGCATATGTATTAGGGCTTTCAGTGTAGTGTTTTTTACGTGATTCTTGGATGTGCAAATTGATTCTTGTGTCTTTTCCTTAGGTTCTTTTCCTCCTGTTTATTTGCATTATCCAACTTAGAAATTATAGTTTTGTTTTATCTTATGTTATTATGTCCATGTTATATTATTATCTCCTATAAGTCTGTTTTTCTCTAATGAACAACAGAAAAAGAGTGGATCTGTACGGGAGGAAAGTTCAGGGGGACTGGGAGAAGTAGGAGGGAAATCATAATCAGGATATATTATGTGAGAAAAGAATCTATTTCCAATAAGAAGAACAAAAAGGAAAAATTCAATATCCCAACTATAAAACTCAAAGTCTTATGAGTAGAATTAATCAAGCAGAATAAGACTATCAGGACTGAAAGAGAAAGCAAAGGATCTAGACAAAGTAAGCAAAGAATACAAGCAAAAACATTTAATAGCACAGGAAAGAAACACACAAGAAATGTGGAACATTGTGAAAAAAAAACCTTCAAATTATAGACACAGATGAGGGAGAATAATCCCAGGTCAATGCCATACACCAGATCTTGAACAAGATCATAGAAGAAAACTTCCCCCAACTAAAGAAAGACACATTCATATAAATAAGAGAATCATAAAACACCAAATAGACAAGGCCAGAAAAGAAAATCCCCATGGTATATCATAGTTAAAACACTAAATATTCATTAAAAATAATGTTTACTGAAAGCTGCAAGAAAAAAATCTCAAGTCACAAATAAAGGAAAATCCATCAAAATATCAGCTGAATTCTCCATACAAACTGAAAGTTACAAGAGCCTAGGGGAATGCATTAAAAGACTGTGGCAGCCAACCTAAAATGATATGGCCAGCAAAACATTCTGGATAATTGCAGGAGAAAGGCAAACTTTCCACGACACAAACAACCTAAAACATTTTGTATCCAACAAACCAAACCTAAAGAAAATAAAGTAAGTCATATTTTTGTAGAAAGAAATACCAAACCATGATTATTAAAACACAAAACACCACCAAGAATACAAAGAACACCAAAACCCAACAACAATTTGGCCATAATCAACAAACAAACGTAAATAATGACTTTAATCTAAGGCTTCTCCCTTTGTGTCTTGAGAGTCTCTTACCTACCAGGTCTCTAGTACTTTCTATAGGGTCCCCCTAACTCCTACCTCCTGAGGTTACCTGCTTCCATTCTTTCTGCTGGCCCTCAGGGCTTCAGTCCTGTTTCCCACCCCCAATACCTGCTCCTGCTCCCCTTTCCCCCTCCCTGTCCCCTCTCCCACCCAAGTCCTTCCTTTCCTCTGCCTGCCATGATTGCTTTCTTCTCACTCCCAAGTGGGATTGAAGCATCATCACTTGGGCCTTTCAGCTTGTTAATCTTCTTGAGTTCTGTGGATTGTATCCTGGGTATTCTGTACTTTTTTTTGGCTAATATCCACTTATTAGTGAGTACATGCAATGTATGTCCCTTTGGGTTTGAGTAACCTCACTCAGGATGATATTTTCTAGTTCCTTCCACTTGCCTGCAAAGCTTAGCCCAAAGATGAAACGTTAAATGAAATGCCCTTCACTGGGGAGATGGAACTTGTAGAATCGATCTTAAGTAGAAAGACAGGGCATCAAGTGGAGGGATGGTGTTGTCATTCTATAGTCAAAAACTCTGAGCCAGAAATGTTCCTGTATCAAAGAACTGCAGGGACAAAAATGGAGAGAGCCTGAGGTCCAGTGACAGGCCCAAACTGTGATCCAGCTCAGGGGAAGGTCTGAAGGCATGACTCTATTACTGACGCTATGGTGTGCTTACAAACAGGAGCCTACCATGACTACCCTCCAAAGGCCCACCAAAAGCTGAAAGATTCAGATGCAGATATTTACACCCAACAAATGGACAGAAGTTGGTAAGCCCTGTGGCTGAATTTGAGAAAAACTTAAAGAAGCTGAGGAAGGCGATCCCATAAGAAGACCAGCAGTCTCAATTAACCTGGACCCCTAAGATTTCCCAGATACTGAGCCACCAACTAGACAGCATACACCAGGTAATATGAGGCCCTTGACACATATACAGTAGAGGACTGCCTGGTCTGGCCCCAATGAAAGAAGACTGCACCTAACCCTCCAGAGATTTGAGGCCCCAGGGAGTAGGGAGGTCTGGTGGGTGGGGACATCCTCTTGGAGATGAGGGAGGAAGTATGGGATGAGGAACAGTCAGAGGGCAGACCAGGAGGGGGATAACAACTGAACTGTAAAAAAGGATTAAAGAATGAAAAACAAGGAAAGATAAATAAATAAAAACACAAATATGAAAAAAGTAATAATAACTTTAAATATCAATGGCCTCAGTTCTATAATAAAAATACACAAACTGACTGAATGGCTCAATAAACAAAGTCCATCTGTCTGTTGTCTACAAGAAACATATCTTAGTTTTAAAGGTAGGCACTGCCTTAGAGTAAAAGAAAGGATAAAAGTACTTCCATCATATGAAACCAGGAAGCAAACATACGCTGGTATCCCAATATCTGGTAAAATAGATTTCAAAGTAAAACCGATCAGAAGAGAGGAGGTGGGACACTTCAATCTAAGCAAGGGAAGATTTAGCCAAGAAGACCAAGTCTCTATCCTAAGTATGTGTATACCAATATCTGGGCACCCACCTTCAGAAAAAAAATTCTACTACTAGATTTAAAAACACAGATTGGCAACAATTCATTAGTATTAGGTGATTTCAATAGCCCACTTTTAAACAGAATAACAACAGAATTAATTGACATCATGCATCCTATGGACTTAGCAAATACCTATAGAATATTATATCCAAATACCAAAGCATTCTACTGAGCAACACATGGAAGCTTTTCTAAAAGAGACAACATCTTGTGTCTATTTCGGATGAATAATAAAATATTATACCTATTTTATTATAACTATTTTATTAAAAATAAAGTAAAACAAATAGTTACAAACTAAAAAGGATTGAAAGTGTTCCCTCTATCCTGACTGCAACACAATAAAACTTAACAACTCTTTACTAAATGATGAATGGGTCAAAGAAGATATCAAGAAATAAAAAACTTTCTGGAAGGAGAAGTAATGAAAAATGAAAGCAAAACGTAATAAAACCTCTGAAGCATATTGAAAGCAGTTCTGAGGGGAAGGTTATAGCTTTAAGTGCCTACATTAAAAATGGCTTATGCTGCAACACAAAAAAAGCTGAAAGAAAAAAATGGGACAAACCAAATCCAAAATTGTCAACAATAAGAAATCAATTAAAAAAAATAGACAAAGAAACAATATAAAGTTTGAACAAAATCAATGAATCTAGAATATGGTTCTTTAATAATTTAAATATGATTGACAGACCCTTTGTCCAACTAACCAAAACAAACAAAAACAAACCAAAAAAAAACCCCACCAAAAGACAAAAGAAGGAAACAAAGAAAGGAAGGACCCAAAAATAACAAAATCAGAAATTACAGGGAAATATTACAAGAGACACAAAAGAAATTCAGAATTTAGTTTTATTAAAATAAATAACTTACTCCTTTATATTCAAAAAGCCTAGCTGAAAGCAATGGATTTTAAGATACGGCCAGACTACAAAGCTAAACAAAGAAGCCATCAGCCTAAGTAGGGGAGATTGAAACAGTAATGAAAACATCCTTCTAAGTGTTAAAAAATTGTTTAGGACAGATAGATTCATGCAGAATTCTACCAGACATTCAAAGAATTAAGGCCAACAATTGACAAAAGGAAATCTTCTGCACAGCTAAAAACAGTCAACTGGGTGAAGAAGAAGCCCACTGGTTCGGAAAGAATCTTCGTTAGCTAAATATCTGATAGAGGATTAATATCCAGAATATATAAAAACTTCAAAAAACAGGGAGTCAAAATCAAATGACCTATTGAAAAATAGACATAGGACCTAAAAAGAGAACTCTCAAAATAATAATAATAAAAAAATGGCTAAGGTATATCTCAAAAAATGTTCACCCCATCCTAATAGATACACCTACTAAACACTCCCTTACCAAGGGCTCAGGGAACATTGTGGAGTATGGAGTGGGAAGACAATAAGGGCCAGAAAATCCAGAAGTTTGCTGTGAGGTTTTGTTGACTAGTAATACCAGAAGCTGTGTCCATAAATTCTCATCAACATGTGACAACAATAGACACGCCATAGTGGGTGGGGTAAAGCTCATGAGGCCTCAACCCTACACAAGCAATGACAAACAACTGAGGAGTGTGGAGAGTAAGAGATACAGTCTTCCCCAGAGAAGACCACATCAAGTCCTATTAACTATCCAATACCAACGGTCAGCCCTGAAAATATGCACACATGTAACATTATACAGACTGAGCAGCTCGCATTTAAGAATATATATATATATATATATATATATATATATATATATATACACACACACACATGCATGTGTGACTCTGAAATAACAAGGAGGGATATATGGGAGGGTTGGAGGAGAAAATGTAATTATATTGCAATAAAAATTGAAATTAAAGTTAAAAAGTCAATAGATTTCAAAGTGACAGTTTTTGAAATTATATATTCTTCAATTCAATGAGTCAATTATGAAAATTCATCTTGTGAAAGTGAATTACCATATTAAATAATCATACAGTTGTACAAAGATACTTATATATAATGTCAAATTATATGTGCTCCAATTCAATAACTTAATTATTGATGATTTATCTCATGGAAATGAATTATCATATTAAATAACCATACAGTTATATAAAGATATTTGTATATAATGTCAAAACATGAATACTATATGACTTTTGACATAATAGTAGATAAGTTAAACAGTGTTCGTGACTGGAGATGTTTCTTAGTGGCAGAACACTTGAAAAGCATAAGTAAGGTTCTGGGTTCAATCCTTAGTAGTGGCAAAAGGAGAAAAAAAAGCAATGTTTCTGCTCTTTTGCAGTGGCACAGGCACTAAAAGGGGAACGATAGAGACATTAGCATGGCTCCTGCAAATGGATAACACACAAATTCATGAAGCATTTCATACTCTTTTTAAAAAGTAGTATTTGTGCAGCAATTCAGTGGAATTAGATAAGCCATTGCAAGCAATGAGCAGTCAGTTTGGTAATAGTTGCAATTGTTATCATAATTAATTATGATTGGAATTAGTTCAACATAGCACTACCGATTAACGAAGCAAAAGCTTCAAGCAGCATGCTCCTTTCCTGTAGCATCCACAGTGTTGTCATGCTCACAGTGTTGTCATGTGAACAAACACAGCCCTCTAGCCACCACGAGTAAATGTGCAGAGACTGGCAGGGCACTACAAGCAAAAGCCTCATGAAAGACCTAGGACATTTTAAAACAGTTTTTGAATGTAGCCCAGGTTAGACTGGATTTCCAGACCCTTTTATTTAATGCTATCAAATGCTGAGACTGCAAGTGTGTGTTACCATGCCAGGAAAGATTTAAAAATTTTCAATTATTACTTTTAGATCATTGAAATAAAATTATGTCATTTGCCACTCCCTTTCCTCGCCAGCCCTCTGAGCCAATCTCCCTATAGCTCATTGATGCCGTCCCACTCTCATGTGGATGGTCTTTTAAATCTTATTATTGTAGCATTAAAGATGTGTGTAGCATGCACACACACATACCCACACCTGTATGCATGCATGCATGCATGCAGACATAAACACGCACACACACACTCACATGCACGCATGTGTGCACGTACATACACATAACCCTGCTGAGCCCATTCTTGTTGGCAGTGTGTAATTGGTTTCAAGACCACTTGCTCTGGGTTGGACAGCCAGTGAAGGAGCTCATTCCTGAGAGAGGTTAGTTTCCCTTCTCTCAACTCTCATTAGTTCTTCACCTAATTGCAGTCCATGAATATTTCCCCTTCCACCTTAACATCACCATTGATAGTTCCATTTTTCTGGTCTTGTTTAAGCAGCCATTTCCAGGAGAGACTGTTTTACAGCAATACTGGCTCTTACAAACTTCTTGGCCTCTCTTCAATGATATTTCCTGAGCCATAGAAGCAGGAGCTATGACATAGACCAGTGGGGTCTGGATTCTTCAGTCTGTTGATCACTGCATTGTGTCTAGTTGTGGTTTTCTGTGATTTTCTCCATTTGCTGTGAAGAGAAAGCTTTGTATGAACAGTAGTACAATGATTAGGTTTAGAATGTAATAGAGAATTTATGCTGGCCTAGCAAAGCGATGGGGGTAGATTCTTTTCTAATAATCACGTCTGCAGAAGCTGCTAGTTTAGAATACCAAGCATGATTTCCCTTCCCTCCTGTGGAGTAGGACTTAAGTCCAGTTAGACAGTTATTTGTTGCGACCAAAATTTGAGTGCCATTTTTTGCACCTTTGTGTATATCTTGCCGTGCTTGTCATTGGTGTTATTATCTTGCCATGCTAGATATTGCTGCGAAGTAGGACTGGTGATTTTTAATTGCTTCTCTTTCTTGGAAGTTTGCATGGTAATTTCTGGAACCATGGAAGCTAGACCATAGCAGAGGCTTCCATTTCAGTTCTAGCTCAAATCATCTGAGTCTTATGTTTTAAATGTATGATGTCTTCAGCAATAGTTGCCCACCCTTAGGCCCTTGAAAGGCACCCAAAGCCACACTGGTAACTGTATTGTTCAGAGGGATTCCTTGCACTAACCTGACCAATGGTTTGAAAGGTATTTTTGTGCCTGGTAACTTTGTGTGTATGGTTTTGATGGGGAACATTGTTGTCACAATACATACAATTATATGTATCTTGTATACATCTAGTTAAATAGAAAATAATATGATTCATTGAGGCTTTATCAAACACACTTGGTGTAGAACTCTCTGCTCCTTCTACACCATGTCTGCTTGCATACTGCCATGCTTCCCCCAGGACAATAATGGACTATATCTAAAACTCTAAGCCAGCCCCAGTTAAAATGTTTTCCTTTATAAGAATTGCCACGGTCATCATGTGTCTTCACAGCAATAGAGACTGTAAAACTGTTATTTGTCCCTCTTTTCTCCTTCTCCTTCTGTAGTGACTTCCCTCCTTTCCCCTAGTTGGAGCCCTTTCCTCACCTAATTCCATTTCCTACTTCATATCACCTGTATCCTGCTATTCACCCCTAACCTCTCACCCACAACATATTCACACCACAATGGTTCCCTTGTACTTCCTTACTGTGGTTGTCCATGTCATATACTCATGCCTGAAGATTTGGAGCTTGGAACTGAGATAAGAGACGATATGAAGCAGTTTTCTTTCTGGGTCTGGGTTACCTCACTCAATATAATCTTTTCTGAGTCCGTTCAATACCTGAAAAATTCATGACTTTCTTTTTATTCACTGCTGAATAGTATTTTATTTTCAATATTTTAAACTTTTAGCTATTTGTATTGTTAATATTAAAATCCTATTTCTAAACATCTCTCTCAATTCATTAGGGATTTAAGTGACTTGGATGATTAACCTTCTACATCATAATGACAGTGTCACTGTCAGGAATATCTGAGAATTGAGTTCTTTATTCAGATAATTCAACATCTTGACCACCCCATCTTTCTCTCCCAAATAATAATGTTTTAAAAATCACACAGATAATTGAAACAATATTTCCTCTAAGGCAGCTGTTTTGTTTCTTGATCAGTTAAAACTGGCTATAGCAATGTCTGATAAAGTTTAATTGCATGAGAATCACCTGGGGGATATTGTTAAGAGTCAGACTTTGATTTGGTGGATTTGAAATAGGGCCTGTGATTCTTCATTATAACAAGTTATTGGTGATCTAGTTGTTGTTACTGGTCTTAAAAGCCATACTTGGATAATTTTTAAACTTACTCATCTGTAGTGAATCCAGAGACCCAAATACTTGTGATTGTGCTGATGTGTGCATATATATATATAACTCATACATACATAAGCATAAAATATGCACAACTTTATATATACATAATCATACGTATATGGAGAGACATTTTTTCAATAAATTGGGAAAGTAATTCCTTTACATAATTTATGCTAAATAGGCAGCCTGTTTTCCTTACCTTTTTATTTGAAACAAGGATAATGAACACTAGTTATCTAATATTTCTATGGGGATAAAATGGAAGAAATAATATGTTACAGAGTGTTTTGTCTTCATGAAGGTTAGGCTTGTTTAATAATGAAAACAAGATAAGGTTACAAATGTTTTAAAGGCATCAATGACCTCTAGTAACTTGGTGCTAGACTTGTCATCTAACAGTTTTCTTTTGAATAGACCATGTGCATAAATGTTTGGTCAGTAAATGCCACATGGGCAAATTTGTGAACATTTGTTATGTCTGAGCTCCAACGCCATGGCAAGGAGGTCTTTATGGGCTAGAGTTTAAGAAGAATGGGAGGAGCAGATGTGTCATGGTTTATTCACAAGCACACAGGACACAACAGCAGATAACCAGGCACATGCTGGAAACATGCCAGCAGACACAGGCACTTGTGTTGCCTAGAAGTAGGCACACACACACACACACACACACACACACACACA